ACCCCAATGCAACAGCTCCCCTCCCACTTCTTCCCCATAGTCACCTCTTTCCAGTGTCCATCCCTCCATGCACTCCTGCCCCCTGAGCTGTCTGCCTGTGCATAAGCAGCCCTTCTTCCTCCCATGATCTAGATGACTTTCTTAAAATTTATATTTTTAGGACAGTACATTTAAAATTGAAAGTATAACATTAGGAATACATTTGCAAAAGAACCTAGCATTTTCCCTTCAATATATTAAAACAATTTGCATCCTACAGATTTATGGTCAGTGATAATTTGGCTTTGACCCTCATGTTCCATTATCTTTGGGGAACAGGTTTGCAGAACAAACTAAAGGAGCCAATACAGCTTGCTAGGGTAGGGGTGGTCAGGAGGTGGGATGACTGAAGGTCAAATACATTTAAAGGAAACTAAGTTTTCAGGTCGCACTCATCTGTTTTAGGACACTTCCATCTGCCATTATTTCTGCTCTCTAGAACTATAATGGAATAATGCAGACATGGGTACAAATTAGGAATCTTTCCTCATAAATTACATTATTATCGCTGTGTAATCCAATGCTTTTGGGGTGGAGATTTGGGTGTAGGAGACTGGTCTGCTAGCACCAGGGTCCGTGCAAGGCCCCTCTTGTGTTCTTCCGTGTGTGCAGTCCTATGCCCCACTTCTATTCTCTCCCACACCCTCTCCATTCTGATGTGTCTGTACAGTCTGTCACATGTTCTATATTCTTCACAGGTTTTAATTAGAGAAATTAAGCATTGTGCTGTGGACGGCACTGCTGTTTGTTTGTGTTCTGCCTTCACAACTCAGAGCGCTGCTTCTAAGATCTGTTTCTTCGGCAGCGTGTAGATGCAGTTCTTTCTTCTAAGATCTGTTTCTTCTGCAGTGTGTATATGCAGTTCTTTCTTTTTAGTTAGTGGGTACTACTCCGCCGTGTGCATCCACCCCGTGTTACATATCCACCTTCTCAGTCAGTCCTGTTTGGTTTGTTCTGTGGAACAGAGCTAGGGTTTGACCCACACATAATCATCTCTCCCCTTTCTTTTACTGTCCTAGCAGGCTTTTCCTGCTGGTGTGAAATGCACTTGAACCCCCTAAGTGAAGGAACACCCTGTGACTGTAGGTTCCAGTCCTAGGGAGGCCTGTCTTAGGAGAGCCCTTGTATCCTTTCTGTATAAGGTTGAAGTGTTTTCTGCTTCCGGTGTCTTTGTCTTACCTGGGAGAGAGATTGCATGTGGCGTTTGCCATTCCCACGATAGTCTTTTTTCCAATTAAGAGTCTCGCCATCTGACGCTAGATTCTACTCACTGGGGCTAATATTTGTGTGAGAGTTAATTATCTGCTCCATCAGTGTCCGCTAATTTTAAATCCCAACCCCTTCCAGAGTCTTCTTAAGAGGACTGGCTTTTTTTTTAAATTTATATGTTAACACACATTTAAACTAAAAATTACAGTTTTAAAGTGGACTTATTTTTCTGCTCTCAAGAATGAATTAAAAACCAAACCAAACCAAACTCACTGCTGTTGAGTTGATCCCTCGTCACAGCAACCCCGTAGGGTTTCCGAGGCTGTACAGCTTTACGGAAGCAGACTGCCTCACCTTTCTTCTGTGGAGCCACGGGTGGATTCAAACCACCAACCTTTTGCTTAGCAACCCAAAATGCCTTAACCACTACCCCACCAGAGCTCCTTCCAAACATGAACGTAGTGTCTTAATTTCACAGCTCTTGAGAGGAATCTAGAGGGCAAGATTTAGAACATACACCCATAACCTTAATGCTAGATGCTTATTAGTGGATGCAAGTTGGAGGCTGTGTTTAAGACATGTAAGTGACCAGCTGAGCAGGTGGGCAGCGGAAGGCCCGGTGTTGCAGAGCTGAGCCTGGATTTTGGAGTCAGACAGACTGGGATTTGAATCCTGGTTCTTTCAGCTGAATGTCCTTGAATACCTGCACTTGGTTTTCTTTAAGAATACCTTCCTTAGAGGGCTGGTGTAAGGATTAATGAGGTAATGCTGTAAAACACTAGTTCAGTGCCTGGCGGGCTGCTGAGAAAATGGTAGCAGCTGTCACCATCATCATCGTCACCATCATCATTGTCGCGTCACCATCCCCACCACCATCCTCCTCCTCAGGTCCCTGAAGCCTGGGATCAAGCAGGTGAAAGAGGGCGGCATTGTGAGTGGGTGAACTTTAGACTCAGGAATGCCCAGATTATCCCCCAGAGCGGAAGAGCCAAGAGGTGGACTATGCTGAAAAATGGCCAGGGTGGCCAGTGTTCAAAGAAAGTATCTTCAGATGTGAGACTTGGAAGGAAGTGGTGAGTGGATCCTCTGTGCAGCTCTGATGTCCCAGAGGCCCTCTTCGCAGGGTTAACCCTTTCACGTTCCTCTGTCCTGGGCCTCAGATCACGACGGCGATCTCTACACCGTTGGGTGGTGGTGAGAGGACTGTGCCCCACTGTGGTTCCCTTTGCCCTCACACATTTCCTCCTGCCCAGCCCTGTGCCCAGTCCTCATCAGGATGAAAAAGAGGCAGTTTCTGGCTTCAGCGTTCTCAGAGGCTTGAAGGGGATGTATTAAAGCCCCAGTTACAAGACAGAGTGACAGGCACTGTGCCAGCGGGGGCCCAGGAGGCAGTGGGAACATGAAGGAAGGGAGGCAGGCTAACGGGCTAGAGGCTTCGGGGTCAGCACAGGTTCCCCTGGAGGCATCTGGTCTCTGGATAGCACAGGAGTATACTTTTATCAACCTTCGCTTCCCAAACTATGATTTTTACCTTTTTTTAAATCTTAATTAGGGACTACTTAGGGTTGTTACCTAACCCCTCTGAGTGAAATCCAATCAGTAATCATTTTCCTTTTATTAACAGAGTATTATGAGTTAGGTTTCCCTCAGTAGCCATTAACATTCCCAGCATCCCATCTTCCAGAATAACGGTGTGGACATAATAATGTAATCAAATCTGTTAATAAATTGATACTATTTTTCTCCAAGGAGAAGATTCTTTTTTGAAAAAATAAACCTCAAGGAAGCCTTGAAGTCACAGCTAAAAGACACCATGGGTTAGTGGAGTTGGTGGTTTCCTTACTGAAATTCCTAACTGACACTAATGCCATTGCTCTGTAAAAATGTCAGTGCAAACAGGACACTTAACCAGAAGTGGCATCTTTTGTAACCATATACTGTTTTTCTCCTGTATTCAGGGGTTCAGCCAGTAAATATTGACTAGTCGTCTACTATCCACAATAACGGACAGGCAAAGCAATTGTTACCTAAGAATAAGAAATGAGTAAGGCATGGTCCCAAAATAAGGCTAGTGTGTGACAGAAGAGTACACGTGGAGAAAGCAGAGAGCTGAGGATTCATAGAGGACGTGGCATTGGTTCTGAACAGAGGAGGAGCTAGGGGCTAAGGCCGAGAAAGGGAGGCTGGAGTGAGGATGTGTTTGGGTGGGTGGGGGACGTGAACAGTGAGCCCTCCTACAGGCTGAGAAAGGGAGGCCGGAGTGAGGGTGTGTTTGGGTGGGTGGGGGACGTGAACAGTGAGCACTACCACAGGCTGAGAAAGGGAGACCAGAGTGAGGTGTGTTTGGGTGGGTGGGGGACGTGAACAGTGAGCCCTCCTACAGGCTGAGAATAGCAGGACACAGAAGTATGAACAAAGCATGGCCTTTTAAGAGTGTGAATAGTTTCTGGTAGGATTGAAGGGTGCAGAGGGTAGTTTTGAAGAATAAGGCAGGAAAGATAAAGGGCAGTTGAAACCAGATGCTGAGAGTTTCGAAGGGTAGAGTGAGAACAGAGCTAAAGATGGCAATGCCAGGAGAGTATCGAAGGAGGGGAGATTGGTGGAGCAGAGACTGAGTCCTAAGGAAGACCTGAGAGGAAGCGATGGGAGGGGAGACTGTAGAAACCCCGGGAGAGAGTGATGGTGCAGGGGCTAAGGGAGGAAAGAAACGGCAAGGGTTGCCAAGTGCTCGGGAGAGGTTAAATGAGGGGGCGTTGGAAGATGCCCTTGGGATGCAAATATTGACCCAGTTGGCAGTGCTGGAGGCAGTAGCCAGGTGGCAAGCGATTGAAGAGAGACAGTGTGCTGAGAAGTTAAGTTCTTTCAAGGAAGGGCATTTAGAAGATGGCTAACCAGTGTAAGGGTTAAGACCTGAGACCAGGAAACAGCAATGAACGGTGCCCTTGTGGAGACAGAGCGTACACTTTTGTTCATGGGTGAGTGGGAAATTGGCAAAGGGCAGTCAGACTGATGACGAACTTACCTGAAAACCAACACTGTGGGCCTTGACTTAGGTCTTATGCCCCCTTGGAGTCGTGCTTCAGTTTCAAACTTTCATTCACACCAGAAAGTCTCTGATTCCTGATAGTCGCAGCCTGTGACCATGCCTTAGCAGTTGTAGAAATGACACAAGACACAAGATTGTTATTTCTGAAGGGAAATTGCTTTTGTTCTGTGGGTTTCGGAAAAGCTAGGTGTGGCTAAGGTACCTGTTTTTCAATCCATCCCGTGCGCGGGGGCCCCTCTCGTTTGAAATAGGGTTGATCGACTCTCTGCCTGTGAAATCTTTGAACATATGTTTTCTGCTACTGTTTTTCAGAATCATTTGCTGTTTCAAATAGAGAGCTGTGCGATGATGAGAAAGAGTTCATACATTTTCCACTTTGTGAGGGGACCTCTCAACCTGAACCCTCGTGTTCAGCTGGCAGAATGACAGCCAGTAAAAACTACAGGAGCAAAACCTCTCAGGAAGGTGCTATAAAAAAGATGCATGAGGAAGAACACCATCAACAAATGTCCATCTTACAGCTGCAGCTGATACAAATGAACGAGGTTCATGTGGCCAAAATCCAGCAGATAGAGCGGGAGTGTGAGATGGCAGAGGAGGAGCACAGGATAAAAATGGAAGTTCTCAATAAGAAGAAGATGTATTGGGAAAGAAAGCTACAGACGTTTACCAAGGAGTGGCCCGTTTCCTCATTTAACCGGCCCTTTCCCAATTCACCCTGAGACTGCGGGGCTGCCTCACTTGTGATTGGTGTGTGTTGGCCAAGAGAGTCTGGGACGTGAACACGTGGTCAGTAACCTGTAACAGAGCTACGACTAGGAACATTAGAGTGGTAGTAGTCACTTATTTAAGAATACCTTCAGGTAAACAGCTACATCCTGTGCGCCCTCGAACTGGCAAAGAAGCTGTTTTGGTCTTCTGAAAATTATCACTATGAGTGCTATGATTCTGAATGTAATGTCTCCGTAATTAGAATTCATACAAAACCACGTGTGAGTGTTGGTGTTGTATATTTTTTTTTTCTTTAAATCAAATGCAAGTGTGACGACAAAGGAGTGTGGCTGATGTTCCTTTTTAAACCGCAGAACTTTTCTCACCCCACGAATCCCATCCCGTTGAAAGCAGCTGTCCCGCGGGAACACACGTTTCCCCAGTGGGGCTGCCGCTCAGAATGTACCAGACGTCTGGAACCCCACGAGGGCTACAGTCCTCGTGACTGGACTTTCCTCTCCCCGTGTATTTTGTTTCCGTTTGTCCATGGCCCAGTATCTGGAGGGATGTTTCCTAGTCAGGCTTAGGAACTGCCTGCCTTTAGGGCCTTTACCCCAGAGAGGAGTTCCAGATGACGTCCCAACGGCGGTGGCTTTGTTGGAACGAACGATGTTACCGCTTTGAGGGAAAAGCGTTCATTTAGTCTGTTCACTGTTAGGTTTGTTTTATTAAAAAACAACAAACAACCTGACAGTTTTGTAGTTGAATTGCTCACGTTCCTCAAGGTGCCACCTTCCTCCACTCTCCTCCTGACTTGGCACCACACGGTTAATGGTGGCCCCTGTCTTTTGTCATCAGCCACCTAAGGAAAGGCCCTGCCCTCACTGTGCACGTGGTGCTGGCTCACAGTAATGCTGTGTAATTTGCATTGCACGGTTGCCAATGGGCTTTTTAAAAATCCATTACCAACATCTTGGAAACGGGGATTGATAAACGGATACTTTGAGCTGCGAGGCAGCTTGTCCTACATGTAGTTTGATGTTCAAAACAGCCCTGGGGGTCGGAGATCGTAGTAACTAGAAGAAGCAAAGTGACACCTCAGTGCCAAGGCAAGCAGCCGTTTCTGAGCATGAAATTTCAAGGCCATGTGTTGGGGAAGAAGAGTCTATGTGGCAGAGGCTATATTAGGGAGCGTGGGGTGAAGAGACGGCCTGAATTCTAAGCCTCGTTCTGCCTTACGTAACCTTGGGTAACACCTTGTAATGCTTGGTGTTCCCTGTCAGTAAAACAAGGGAATTGAGCTAGATAATGTTCAGGGTCTGCTGTAGTTCCTTAACTATGGTGTGTCTAGTCTTGGATGGGCACTGCCCACATCATCTGGAGAGTGGTTTGGCAGGGAGCAGCTGTTTACTGCATCGGCCAAGCGCACCTCCTTCATACATTTTGGATTTTGGTTCTGGGACTGTAAGTTCAGTAAGGTTCAGGTGTACTTGCTATTTATGGACTATATGAAACTTCAGTGGAAATCAGTTTTAGACATGTAATCCCATCTCACATGACCTCAGAGAAACAGACTGTTTGAAGGAGCCCTGTGAGGACTAGACTTCTTTGACAGGAAGGACCCTTTTGTAAGGGTCTGTTGTTAACTTGGTGTGTCTACCAGACGGACCCATTAGAGTGAAGCATATGTACAGACGTACGGTCGTCAGTGGTTTGTGGAGGACAGACCTAGACTCTCCACGCCCTCCTACCTCTTCAGGATGGGGACCCTGCACAGCAGGCCTTAAGCACAGACGAGAACCAAGGGAAGTGTGCCCCTTTTTCAGCTATTGATCCACTGGACATTGCGTTAATATGCAGATTTGGGCTCATTAGTCCGGGAGAGGAGCCAGAGTTCATGCATTTCTTAGAAGCTCTGAGGTGATGGCATCTGCTCATCTGGTGACCACATTTCTGAATAGTAAGGTGTTAGAGGACCCAGAGAAGTTTTTACTTACTGTTCTTAAAAAAAAAAAAAAAATTGGATTAGGTCTATCATTGGGTCTAGTGGTGTGCTAGGTAATATTCTTTCTCTCAGAACTTACTACTACCTAAGTGTATGAACAGCAATGTGGAACAACACAGAAAAGGCCCATACACAGTGGTGTATTTCAGTGGGACTCTAAAAGCGTTGAACTAATTCCTAACTGAACATACATAATTAAACCAGCAGCCTAAGGCACCTTGCTCTAATGCTAATGGTATTTATGAGTTTATAACAGTAATTTCCAACCTTGACTATGCATTAGAAACAAGATTTTATAAATAATTAGTAGGGGGCCCACTCCTAGAGGATTCTGATTCAGTTGGCCTTGGTTGGGGCCTGGGCCTCTGTATTTTTCAGAAGCTTTATAGGTGGTGATGATCCATAATTGGGATTGAGGACTGCCCGTGTGCGGTTCACAAATCTGACTCCCAGAACCCCTAGCACTCCTCTGACCGTGGGCAGAAGGGAGGAGATGATGCTCAGAGAAGAACCAGCTAGCTTGAGTCCTGTAAGTAGTGAAGGCAAAGCAGGACCTCAAACCCAGGCCTCCCAATTCCAAAACTAAGAGCTGTGCCCGCCTGTCACTGCCCTATGCCTTGAAGCCACACCGTGGATTTGTTTTATCCTGAGAGCCAGGTCGTGTCTACAGGGTACATGTTACAGTGTCTGCATCCCTGAACAGGTGCATCCGCATTGGTTTCACTTCGAGTGGTTCCTCACCTGAGGTAGACGCACTGGTAGGCACTATGTTGTTGTTGTTGTTATGTGCCGTCGAGTCAGCCCTGACTCATAGCGACCCCTCCTTGGGTTTCCGAGGCAGTATCACTACGGAAGTAGGATTGCCCAACCTTCCTTCCGAGGAGTGCCTGATGGGTTTGAACCGCCATCCATCTGGTGAGCAGTCAAGTGCCTTAGCCACTATGCTACCAGAGCTCCCGCTATAAGGAATAGATAAATATTAAGACCTTGTTCACCATGTGCCCCCTTCCTGATCATGGGCACACTTGGGGAGGTAAGCCTTATACTCAGCTGTTCTGGAAGTGATCGGTGCGTGTCTTCAAGTACGTTTGTAGCTCGGAGCAGACAGGTTGCTTTGAGTTGAGGAGCCTTGAAGGAAGGCCTCATAGAGGAGTTGCCGTTTGGGCTAAGAGTTGATAGAGTTAGCATTCTGGCACGGTGAGGTTAGAAAAGGAGAGGGCCTTCACTGGATGCAAGGTGCAGCTGCAGATTCAAGGCGATGAAATACATCATTGGGAGGCAGAGGAAGAACACGGCACATTTCCACACTGGGCGAGATCGGAACTGTGCTCCAGGCGGGCGATTAGGCTGCAACAGAGTGGAGTGGAAACTGGGTCAAGGAGATGAGGCGGGAGAGCTTGGCCCTGGTTGGGAGGACTCCAATGAGGGCCTCAGAAGACAAGGGGGACCAGTGTGACGGACATTGCAGAAGTGGGATCAGTAGGGCCTGGCAGTTGATTGCTTTTGTTGGTGAGGAGGGGTAAGGTTGGACCCAGATGTCTGGAATAACGGGGCAACCAACTGAAATAAAGGATGCATTTCTAGCTGTGACTTGTCCTAGGAGAGGCCTAGCCACAAACTAGTGCTACTGGCTTCCGCTCAGACTCAAATGCTAGCACCTGCCCACCTCCCCTTTTACTGTCACATCTTCGAATGACTTGTCTCTTCAGCTGCCTCTGTTGCCACTTCCATCTGTTCCTCTGACGGTTTTGCCCCTCCCTGCTGGGTCCTTGGGAGTGCGTCTCAGGTGCTGCCTCTGCCATCAGCCCCTCCGTGCAGTCGGGCTCCTTTATCCACCATTTTGCGCTGGCTCAGCTCTAGAAAGATCAGGAAAGGTTGGCTCTTTCCCTTGGTCTCCGATTCTTCTCCGGACATTCTTGGCACTCACGCATTTGGAGTTGGTTTTTGTTTATCTGTTTTTAAAGTTCCATGTTGTACAAAGAAGCATTGGCTAAGAGGGTTGCTAAGCCCTGAGTATTACTCTCGTGGCTCCTTTATAAAAAAGCAAACCTGGAATCCTATGTTAGAATGCATCAGAGAGTTAGGAAGTCTTTAGGATCTTTGCAGAGAGAATTCTAAGATGCATTAGATTTTTTTTTTTTTTTCTTTTCCCTCTCCTTTTTTAATTAAGAAGAAAGAGGACAGAAAAGCAGGGGAGAGAGGTGGCATGGAGGGAGAGTCCATTTGAGTTGTCAACACCCTCTGCAGTGTCGGGTCAATTATATCATCTTGGTCTGAACAAGAATCAAGGAGTAGTTCTGCATCCTGGGAATGTCAGAAGGGCTTGATAATTATATTTGGCAAAGCCATGAAGAGTGGCTCTGTAATGTCATTACTAAGAATTGCCCTTTTAATAGCATTTCTGGATGTCTGAGCTTTTCAAGTGGGATGACACTCTCTTCCACTGTGGCTGCCTTGCTCGTCCTCGCCCTGGCTGGTCCTTGCGGGTCCTCTGCTCATCCTCACCTGTGCGTCCGTATCATTCCTTGTTTCCTCTGCTGTCTTCCCCTTCCCAGCCCTGTCTCTCTAGCCTCTCCTCCTACACTCATGACAGCCTCGACTCTCCCATTTTCGAGGTAGAATACTGTGAGAATGTGTGTGAGGGGAATGCTTGCCGGAAGCACATTGAGCAGCTGGTATGGACAAGGTAAAATTTAGCCTTGGTCTCGCCACACGAATGCTGTCTTGCTTCCATGCTACATCTGCTACTTTTGTGTTGGTGGGACTCAGAAGTAATGGGAGAGCTTACCATTGATCTGTGACTGCCACAAATTATTTTCCTAACTGTGCCATGTTATATGCCCTTCAATACAACATGCTAATCTCTGCCTCAGTTTCTCCATCTGTGAAAGTGATGTAAGACTTATCTACCTCCCTTGAATGTTGTGAAGAGTAGTATGTGTTGGTAAATTGCTTCACAATAAAGCATTTGACCAGTATTGTTGTCACTGTATGTGGGGGCTCTTC